TCTTTATTTTGTTGCTAGATTCCTATATTTGGTAATTTTTTGCTTCGACCTTAAGTGAAATGAAATCTTTTTTTTTTGGGTGATGAGTCCTGCTTACAGTTAATATTGAAGCTGAAAGACCTTCATTAGAGCAGCGCCAAGATGTCGAGAAAAGGTTTGATGAAGCAAGACTTGAGTAAACTAGATGTAACAAAGTTGCATCCGCTCTCTCTCGACGTTATATCTCGTCAAGCTACTATAAATATCGGTAATTCTTGAACTCTGTTGGGATCAAACTACTTGTAGCACATATTGTTATTGGACAAGTAGTTATGGTTATTTTAACTCATTGTTGTTGTTCCTTGTTTTATTAATTGAAAATTTGATTTGGGTTTCAATTTATCAGGCACCATAGTTCATGTGACACATGGGAAGTCAACGGTCGTGAAAGCAATATCTGGCGTGCAGGTGATCTAGCTTATTTTTAATGTACCCAAATAAGATAAGATATTGATAAGTCACCTTCAGAGAGTCTGTTTTGTAATTTTGTGCCTTTTGTATGGTGGATAGTGCTAGTGTTGCTGTTGAATTTTGGAGTCTGGTAAATGTAACATGTTATGCATTGTGCACTTTATGCACTTATGTAGACTGTTCGTTTTAAGAACGAGTTGGAGCGTAATATGACTATCAAGTTTGGATATGCAAATGCAAAGATATAAAAATGTGAAGATGAATGATGCCCTCGTCCTTAGTGCTACAAGCAGGTTGATATCTAGTAATTTTTTCTTAATAAATTTCCCGAGTATTAATAACAGCTGCAGCTGTGATCGGCATTTTGTTGTTGTAGGGCTTATGGAAGTGGAAAGGAAGATGGTCCTCTTTGTGATGTGTCTGGATTTGAAAATTCCAGGATGAAGTTGCTGAGGCATGTGTCCTTCGTAGATTGCCTGGTAAGGTCCTAAGTAGTACCCTGTGGAAATGAGGTGATTACGTTTTAGCTTTGCTGATTCATGCTTGCTCAGCCACTTTTGTCTTACTGCTCTAAAAGGGATTAGAGATTTTGCATTTTGGATTTCTAAAATTCTTCTATATAAGAAATTTTTAAGTTTTCTTCAATGGTTCCAACACGGTCACGATATTCTCATGGCTACTATGCTTAATGGAGCGGCAATTATGGATGGTGCATTACTTCTCGTAGCTGCTAATGAAAGCTGTCCACAACCTCAAACTTCTGAGCATCTGGATACTGTTGAAATCATGCGAATCCAACATATTATAATTCTTTAAAACAAGGTTGATCTTATTCAAGAGAATGTAGCTATCAACCAGAATGAAGCAATTTAGAAGTTTATTCAGGTTGTCATTTTTTTAAATAATAATAAAGTGGATGGACATTTCATTCTTGTTTTCCTTCTGAATCTTTTGGCTAAAAATAATTCATTGCAGGGTACCGTTGCTGATGGTGCACCAGTCGTACTGATTTCTGCACAGCTAAAGTGTAATATCGATGTTGTGTGTGAATACATTGTTAAGAAGATTCCTATTCCAGAGAGAAACTTCATCTCCCCCTTAACATGATCGTCATCCGATCATTTGATGTCAATAAGCCAGGGTATGAGGTTGATGAGATTAAAGGTGGTGTTGCTGGTGGAAGTATACTCCGGGTAAGTTTATATATGAGATGTTATTGTTAGTCTTATTTGGAGATGAATCATGATTGTTGGGTGCTTATTTGTGGTTATTGCACAATTTAACTTGCTAAACACTGGATACTTATTTTTTTTTGCTTGTTTTAATGCTTGTTTATAACACTGTTAAGGTCTATTTTCTAAATAATAGCTTTATTTAAACATAACATTTTAAAAAATGAGAACTATTTTTTTATAGTTGCTAGAGAATGGATTTAGAGTGAACTTATGTTGCTTTGTTTTGTACTGTGGATTATTTTGTTAATATTTGTTTGTTCTAGGGTGTTTTGAAGGTGAACCAGTTTATTGAAGGGTGAAAGCGGTAACATTAAATGCACACCCATATATTGCAGAATAGTCTCACTGTATGCTGAACAAAATGAGCTACAATTTGCTGTTCTAACTTCTAAGAGGTTTAATTAGTGTTGGAACAACCTTGGACCTGACTTTGAAACGTGCTGATAGATTGGTTGGTCAAGTCCTGGGAGAGGTTGGGTCACTCCCAAAAGTTTTTGTTGAGCTCGAGGTATATGTTGATTTTCCTCTGTAAGAAGCCATAGCGGTGAAATCAATTCTGAGCATGTTCTACCTATAATTTCTTTTTGGAATTGATTCAACACATACATGCATGCTTGCTATTATTATTTTTTCTTTTCTTAAAGAGGGGTTTGATTTGCAAGATGTGGTGGTTTCCATCGGATGCAGTCAGTGGTTGCTGCCACTGTTAACAAATACCGTAGAAATTCATACTGCTGTCAAATGGTGTCTTTTCTAATTTGTGTAGGTAAACTTCTTCCTTCTTGGAAAGCTTCTTGGTGTTAGGAAAAAGGGATCAGAGAGGTAAGGAAAGGTGTTGAAGCTAGCCAAAGGAGAGATCCTAATGTTGAACATTGGGCCGATGTAAACTGGGCACGAGTCGTAGCTGTAAAGAATGATTTGGCAAAGCTGCAACTCACGTCCCCGGTTAGCACCAGCAAGGGAGAGAATACTTCTCCGAGTAGGCGTGTTGAGAAGCATTGGTGTCTAATAGGATGGGGTAAAATTCAAGCTGGAACGACCCTTGAGGTTCGACCTTGCCCTCTTCGAGCGCCGGTTTAACAGGTATATAGAAAGCAAAAACATCTGTAGAATAAGGCAGGGAAACATAATTATTTTTTGTTGAAATGTGGGAGGCAGAAAAAACATTGAACCTGGTTTTACTATTCATCAGTCAGTCGGTTTCTTCTCTTTGATTTTGACGAATGCGTTGAGATGGAGTCTATCGATTTCAATCATCCTTCGTTCCTGCATCTGTCAGGTACGTTGGGGGTGCATCTCGTTTCGCATCAGCTTGTTGGCCTAGAAAATTATAACATTTGGATTCAATTGATGAGAATCGTTCTTCTGACAAAGAACAAACTCATTTCATTGATGGTGATTGTTGCAATGAGTCGTTTGATTCGATTCGTCATTCTCAATGAGAGAGGTGTAACGCCATTGTGTTATTGTGGATTTTGAACACGGTGAGCTCAGAGTTATTGACTAGCATTGTTTTTGCTTCAAGTGCAGCGGTTGTGTGGAAAGATTTGAAGGACTGGTTTGATAAAGTCGACGGCTATAGGGTTTTTTTCCTCCATCGCACAATTGCAACACTTACGCAAGGTGATTCTATTGTTTCGGTTTATTTCACTCTATAGTGATTTGATTTCGATTTCTGTTTGTGAGTGTGAAGTTGCACTATAAAATCAGAAACATTTTTTTAATAGAAACTATTTCAGTTTCTAAAAGGTTTAATGAGACTTACTCAGCCATTTGAAGCCAAATCCTACTCATACAACCTCTTTCGACAATCAATCAAGTGTATTCCATGACTATTCAAGAGGAGTCACACTTATTATCTCTTAGAATCAAACTTTTAAGCCCATTAAATTCTCCTTGCATATTACTTGCATCGTCAAAACCTTGTTCTCTTATTATTGAAAAACATAATTCATGAGTTGCAAACATGTTTTCGAGAGCATTCATTAGTGAAGCAACCGTAGTACTAGAAACATGAACAAGACACATAAATCGTTCAACAACTTTTCCTTTCTTATCTACATAGCATAGAAAGATAATCATTTGCTTTTTAACATATATGTCACGAGAATCATTAACTAAAAAAGCAAAAAAATCATTTCCAAGATTATCAATAATTGCACAAGTAGTTTCACTAGCAACTACATTAACAATATCTTTTTGTATAGTCGATGCTACTAGTTTAAGATTGCCATGAACATTTCTGAAAACTTTGTTACAAATTTTATTATGAGTAGCAAGAAATTGTAAAAAGCTCTAGAAAGTTACCTTGATTACAAGAATTAGAATACCCATCATGTCCACAAAAAGCCAATCCTTGTCGCAAAAGGAATCAAACACAATCAACTATAGTTGCAAGATGAGTTCGATATTCTTGCTTGACTTGATTAGATTGCTTCTTAATGACAACTTTAACATGTTGCTTCTGATTTATTGAAGCTTCACATATTCTCTAAGCTACATTATGAACACTATTAGGACCTCTAACACGAAGTTGCAATCTACTCCTCTTTTCAATTTTTAAATCCAACAACAACAAATGTATCACCTGTCCCTTACTCTCCTTTAGATTCAGATCTCATAAGGTAAAGATGTAATCAAAATGTTGCATCTTTGGATACATTATATTCTAACCAACTTTTATGTTCTTCGAATCGCTTAGGATTGAAACTTCGTAACTTATCATTATACTTCTTAGGAAATTTGTGTTCTTTTGGTTGGTAGAGACCTTTCAACAAATAAGACCTTCGAATTTCTTCATGATCATTAGGATGAAATTCTATAATCTTTGATCTTTTTTCCAGGATCCCCTTAAAGATTTCTAAAACCAACTTGTAAAAATCTTTTATTTCCTCCCGAAGATGAATCATCTGTTGTTGTCTTCCTTTAAAAATATTTTTCCATACCTAAATAAGAAAGACATAAAATTAGTTCAATTGTAACAGTAAAAAAGCACATAGAAAATAAAATGAGAAAAATGTCTTGTGTGTAATGCTATTCGTTCATGGAAAGACATAAAGTTCCTAAATTATCATGTTGATTTTTTAACAAGGAAGTGCACCAGTGTTATTATTAAATTTCAAAGAAATAAAACCAATAAACAAACTAAATTGTCATTTTGCAAATTTCCAAATGCAAGAAATAAAAACACATGAAATACAACAAAGCAATAAAGTCTCATGGAAAAAAATAAAGCAATAAAGTTTCATAGAAAGCAGTAAAGCAGTAAAGAGAGAATGAGACAACCGTTGTAAGTTTTGATCTAATTTTTGTTTTTAACATTTTAAGTTTTCAATCTTTTTTTTTTCTCTCCTAAAAGCTATGAAAATTCTGGTCGTGACTGTATGTGCAGCCAGACATCAAGTCATCAACCGTGATAGCCGTCGTTCACTGGCATCGTCCATTGCCACCGAAAACCGTTAGCGACTGTTGGGAAAAAAAAGACACCCCTTTATACATTTTTTCACGATGCACTCAAATCCAAGGTTAGTTTTTCAAAAACCATTTAGAATTGTGTAGATCTAAATTAAAAATTTGTTTCTGGTCTCAAGCTTGAAGATCTGTCGTCTGGTGGTGGTGGTCTCGGGATATCATTGCCCCACTCGTCGTAACAAAGTTTCTCACCGTACGGATTCATGAACGATTGTGTCGTTCGCCAAAAAATCTCAAAAATAGGTTTGGTCTTTTCGTTCAAATCTACTTTCTTTTCTTTCTGATTTTTAAACAAGCGTTGGATGCTTGATTGTATCCATGCAGATTTTGATGAGCAGCGACGTCTTGAGCAGCGGAGTCTCTCGCAGCGATCGATGAACACTCGAACCGAACTCGCCCATCCTTTTGGGCACAAGGGGGGCGAGAACCAATCCGAGTAATCAACCGCTTCTTTTTTAATCTGCCTCCCGCACTATACGGCTTTTTGTCTTCTTCCTTCACTTGAATTTCCAAATCCGGCTCGCTCTCGGCCACGTGTCCTTTAGCTGTCTTCGTTCATCGAGTAGGCGAATGTAAGTTTGCCTGAGTACGAGTAGAGGATTGGTTGACAGTGAGAAACCTCTATCTGGTTGTGGCAACGGTTTTCAAGCGATCGGTTAACTAAAGGGCGAAAGAGTTTCTATCATTTTTTTTTCAGGTTTTTCAACATTCAATCAAAAGTTCTAATTTAGTCTAAATTGTTCTCCAAACGTTTTGTCGTTTGGATTTTTTCTATGTTAACCGGTTGACCCAGTTGAGAACAGATGAGTATGGGACAAACCGGTAGAGGAGATACAGGTTGGGGATAAATTTAGTTTTAGTTTTGGTTAGGGCTTATTGAATAAAATTATGGGCTAAAATAAAAATTTTATTTATAATGAGAAATTTTTAGTCTTCTTCTGGGCATAAATAAATTAGAGGAGACACAAATGAAAATTAAGATAGGAACAAATGAGCAAGAGTGGGCACACATAAATTTCAAGGTGGTTCTGAATAAATAAATTGAATATATAATAGATAAACTTTTCTAAGGTGGGCACTAGCCCACTCTCAAGCATATATATATTTGCCACTGAAAGTGTAGGTTCAAATTATGGTTCATCCACTTCACCAATTTCTGTGAGTGTTCTTATGTTCACAACTAAGCAGTACAATCAAATCTTGGGCTTGTTGAATAAAGCTCCATCTAATTCCACCGTAAATCTTTCAGGTACAATAGCTAGTAGTTTACATGCTGATGATTTTTGTCTTCAATGGATCTTGGGTACAGGTGTCACTGATCTATTCTATCTGATTTTTAAGAGCTTGTGTTTTCTTGTTTAATGTTTTAAGCCTCATTTTGTACACTTGCCAAATGGTAAAATAGAAACTGTTACACACACAAGTTCTCATCATTTAACCAATGATTTTCTTCTCACAAAGGTTTTGTTTGTTTCAATTTTTTCCCACAATCTATTGTCTATTTCAAGACTTGCCAGAGATTACTCCAATGGCAAGATCCTGGGGATTGGTGGAGTCTAAGGGGTTGTATATCTTCGAGTCTGCTAAAGGAGATGCTAGTTTGTCTTTCAATGTTCAGTGTAATGGTTCTTCAGTTTCTAGTTCTAGTAGTGATAAGCATGCTAATGCTCTGTCATCATCAATGCTTACTAAAATTTTAGGTTCTTTGAGTAATAAAACCAATCTTCAGCATGCTCGTTTAGGGCATGCCTATGCTACTGCTATGAATAAAAGGCCTCTTTGTGTTTTTTATAAACTTGATCATGATTGTATATCTTATTGTCCAGTTCATCCTCTAGCAAAACAAACTAGACTGTCATTTCCTTATAGCAAGTCTAGGTCTCAAATTCCTTTTGAGCTCATCCACATAGAACTTTGGGGTCCTTATAAGGTCTCAACTCACAGTAGTCGTAGATTCTTTCTTACTATAGTAGATGACTGTTCTCAAATGACGTGTATATTTATTAAGGTAAAGAATGTTTCTATCCTCTTTCTTAAACAGTTCTTGACCTTGGTCAAAACTCAATTCACTACTAATACTAAAATAATTCGTAGTGACAATGATGAGAACTTTTTAATTTCGATTGCTCTCATATCTGCACATCTTTTAGAATTATACATCAGATGTGCATACTCCTTAACAAAATGGTGGTGTTGAAGGTCAACATAGACACTTGTTAGAAGTGGCATGAGCTTTAAGATTCCAATTAGCTGTTCCTGATAGAATTTGGGGAGAGTGCATACTAGAAGCTTGTCACATAATCAACTATGTTGCATTGATACGGATACGGGGACGGGGACGTGAAACGATAATTTTTAAAATTACAGGATACGAGGACGACAAGGGTACGACATATAAAATAATTTTAAAATTATAAATATATATATAAAAAATCATAAATAAAGTCAAATATAAAGACTCAAACCACAATATTAAGTTTAGAACAGCAAAATCCATAAACAAATCACAATATTAAAATGTCAAATTTCAAGATTCAAACCACAATATTAACTCTATTAAAGTGTCAAATCTTAAGACTCAAACCATAATATTAAGTCTAGAAAAATATTAAACCCAAATCAAACATTGTTAACATCCTAATTTAACTCTAATTAAAGTCCTAACATTTGAGCATTTTTTAAAATTATAAAATTGGTGTAACACCCTAATTTAAATCTAATTAAAAATCCTAACAATTGAGAATTTTTTCTAAATCACTAAATTAAAATTAGCACCAAGTTTAACTGTAAGCTTGGCACACACTAGGCCTGTTCATTTTAACAAATCATATTATTTTTCCAGAAAATGTAACTATGCTAGATTGTGACAGCCAATCTGGAAGAGTGGAATATGTTATTAATTACCGAATGTGAGTAATATGCTACCATGCAAGAATTTTTGCAATAAAAGTAAAGGGAAATTGAGGCATCTGCCAACAGAACACAAAACTGCATTTCGAGCTTTGCAGCATAAGCTACTAAGCTTATTATACCAAACTGTAGGAAGATAAGGAAAAGAAATTCTAAAAGAATGACCCAAAACAATTATTTTTAATTTTAGATATGGTTGAAAAAAAGACTAAAAGGAAAATGTATGTCAAAAAATCATTTCATTACAATGTACATACCGAGGAAGCCAAATCATCTTCCTTTAGAGTTTTAGCAAGCCCAAAATCCCCTAAAACAATACAGACAAGAAAGGAATTTAGGATAACAATAGCAGAATAGCCAATTAGGTAGGATATCTGACATAACTTAATAGGAAACATAGATAAAGAGAAAACCTGTAAGAAAGTAAGAAGAAAAGGGAAAAGACAAACTCACCAAGGCGAACATCTTGATCTTTAGTAAGAAAAATATTGGAACACTACCAAGAAAGTGCTGAAGTCAGCCCATAATAAATAAGTTAATAGAAAGACCAATATAAATTGACATTCGTACCTTTATGTCCCGATGCAGAACAAAATTTGAATGCAGATATTCAACTTCCAGAAGTAGCTGCGCGAACCATTTGCAGAGCTTCTGCACAATGTTCACAACCAGTGGAATTAACTGTAAGTCATAACCACCTCATCTCTTCCACAATTAGGTGAGGACCATGGAAGCGGAAACCCCAACGGGGAACCTTTTACCGTGCCACACAATTCTAAGAAGAAACTAACTTGTAAAATCAATAGGAATAGAGAGATAAGATTACCTCCTCCGAGAAATAGATCCCATTTGATTTTTTCATCAATTCATCCCTGTTAAAAACAGTTAAACAGGAAAATAATAAAATACTACAAATTTTGCAGGATGTCTAAAAACAAAAAACTCCGAATCAAACTTGTAACACCTCAATCTTTAGTTAATTATAATATTCACGTGGTTTGTTCAGAATTAGGTTTAATGTGGACAAATTATTGGGTGAGATGGGAATTTTATTATTTTTTATATATTATTATTTTATTTAGATTTCCATGAACCATACAATTGAGATATTTTGAAAGTCTCTCTTTTGTATAGTGTATATACATAATGGAGGAAATCATTTGGGAGGACAAAAATACAAACCCAAACTTATCCTTATCTTCACCCGTTCTCATGCTTCGTTGTTCTCTACGAGCTCTGCTGAACCATGGAAAGTTCTCAACCAGTCTAGGTCCAAGCTCCAGCATTATGCTGCAGCTGTGTAAGTTCCGATTGGCTTAGAAGAAAACTTTAAGGGTATTTTCGACCTTGTTCAAAAAAAAACTTACTATTTTCAAGGTTTTATCGGAGAAAATGTTATTGGTAAAGAAGTACCGGAAGAAGAAGCGGTCGCAGCGCTGATTAAGTTCACTTTCAAATATTCGCTAGTCGATGTTGCTCTTCGGATCTTACTATTTGTAGCAGCTTTAAGTTCTGTGGTGGTCATAGTTACCAGCAAGCAAACCAAGGGGTTCAGACTACAGAGGAAGAAGATGGAGCAGCTAACGATGGCTCTACTATGGTTACTACTACTGCCCCGTTAAAACCAAGAAAGAAAAGGCAGTTTGCCATTTTAAGAGAGACAGAATGAGATCCAATAGATTCTTGGAAATTCAAAAATTAAAGGAAAACAAAAAGGAATATCATATGAAGACAAAGGGAAAATGGGGTTATGATTCCAACATGAAAATTCACGTGGGTGTTGTCTAGGAAAATAAAGGGGTAAACCATAAGGTATGTCATTCAAGTTTGGTGAGATCTTTACTTTGTCTCTTAATTTCCAAGTGTTTATAGTTATGACATAATAGTTTTTACAAGATCAATTTAGTCCATGATGTGAGTAATTAAATATTACTAGCTCTTCAAGTTTTTAGTTATGCAAATTGGGTTTCCAAATTTTTAATTAGATTCTAATAAGTTATTTTTTTATAGAAAGGAAAATTATTGGAAGTCGTATTTGTACGATAAATTATCCGTGTTCGTTAGAAAAAGATTGAAAGCTAGAAATCAAGTTGGTGAGCTGGAATTTAAGACTAATATTGTGGGTTTTATTGATGTTCCGATTTTGAGGTTCGTTTTGCCAAATTCAAATTCGGTAAGCTGTTTTTCACTGATTAATCACCTAATTCGATCTGTTTTTCAGAATTAAGTTTCATTTTTGATAAAATTTCTGTTAATATGTATCTGAGGAATTATTAGAAGTCGATTTCAAGATCGAGGGCATTCGAAATTAATTTAAATGGTCGAGCAATATGGCATGGAAATCGAGGTAATACTTTACTACCTCTTTATGCTTTATGAAACATGTTGATATTGGTAAATGCATGAATAAGATAATATTGATCATTTTTGTGGAGTTGATTAAATTATACACTCGATATGAATGTGGTAGAAATTCTGTAACTGAATACGGATCGAATGACTAATATAAGAGATTGAGGAATTGTTAGAATTAAATTACAAGTTTGTGATTGGCGATAAAGAAATCAGCTCTGGATTTGTAACTTATATTTTATATCATCAAAGGTTAAATGTTAAAGGTACTTGGATGAAAAATTATGAGAATACTCTGGTATGGTAAAATTATGAAAATACCCTTATATTGTAGGATGACAAGAATTGTCCCTGAAAGGTGGTTAATAACTCTGAAAAGACATATTGATCCGATATAACTACTGATGTGCATAAGAAATCTTAGTTTTACTTGGAAATTTTGGATAATCGATTTTTAACCCCAAGAGGGTTTATGCAAGATACTAGAAGTCTGTTAAGGAATCATTTCAAGATCAGAGAAGGTTCGGGAAAACAATTAATTATAGGATTTCCAAATTATATTATTTTCGTTAAGAGATAATACCAAAAATATCTGGTTACAAATTTACGAAAATACCCTTGAGAGGTAAAAATAGTCCAAGTTGACTCTGAACGAGCAGATAACCTGAGAATTTGTAATTAAACCGATAAATTACTGATTTAATGGTTGAGATTCTACTTTTGTATGGAAATTCCTAATCATTCGTTAGTAATATTTAAAAAGACTTTTAACCTGGAAATCTCCGAGTTATGAGTAAATACCTGAAAAATAAATTATCAAGGGTGTTATTTTGTCAGAATTGTTTGAAAGGACTGGAAAAGATGATATGTTTGAATTAAATGATAAGATCAAATGGAAGGAAATTATTGGAATACACTGTATCTGTAAGATGACCAAAATACCCCTGTAATGGAAATGATTAAAGAATATCACAAAGCCAGGAATGAATGGATATCCTCAAGCTTTGAAATGAATGGAAGAACATTGAGAATAAAGATGTCCAAAATACCCTTATGACCAAGGATAAGTAAATGAATTGGATTCATTAAGGAATCCAAATAAACATGGATGTTGCATTGTTTTTTTTAAGTTATGGAACATAGTTTAAGTCGGTCGACCAACGTTAATGCTATGTCAAAACATGAATGGAATAAATACCACTTGAATGTTTGTTCATCTTCTCAAATTGGGATTGATGATAATTATGGAAGTACTCAGCTCAGCTCAACGTTAGAGCGCATTCGATATTAAGAAGTGGATATTAGTGAGATAAATCAACCACGAACACAAAATAATGATTTTAGTAAATGACCAAAGAGAACTAAGTAGAAGTACAACATGTATCCGAAACGCAGAAGCATCTGAATTACTCAGAAATATTCTGAAGTAACTGGGATATTGATTTGACTACTAAATGAACCGAGTAACTTTAATGACTGAGAATTTAGTATGTGATTGAATGAGTCTGAGAACTCCAATGATATTGCATTATATATGATTACTATGGGTTATGAACCAAGAATTAAATACGTTGACAATTCGTGATATTGTTGCCATGTGGATAGAAATAAAGATTATTTGGATTCTCTATTGCTTCCTTTAGATGTATTCAACGATGATTTTGAAGATGATTTATAAACAAGAATTGTTGGTATTAAAGTGTGAATACCCTGGAAGGGCAATGAATTGACCAGTTGAAATACATCAGTTTTAGGAGTTGTTGATAGTCCGATCGATTGACATGGATCGTAAGTGCCTTGAATATTCGTTCTTACTTTATCAGCTCAAATTACTCTGGTCATACTTGAACACTTTCCTGAGATATATGAATCATAGAGAGATTCGAAAATATCAACCATAAATGTCTGATTAGATTGGTTATTAATCGATTCTCTTCAATATGACCTCGTTCCTAGAATCAGATCAAATTTCATAAGTTTCGTGTTATCCATACTGAAAACTACAATGGCCTCTGAAAACACTTGGATTCTCTAGTGTGTTCCCTAAGTACTATTTAATTATTTTATCTATTTTAAAATATGGTACACTGAAATCTATGGTTTACTGCTTATTGATACACCACTAACTGGTGATGATTTATAGACTATGACTGATATATGATTATTGGTTTTCACTGATATATGATTACGATGTTTACGGATTTATGGAATTTATGCTTACTGCATAAATTGTATTTTTGAAATACTGATTTTGGATGGATTGAATTACAGAGTATAGCTCTAATCGAGCTGATAAACCTTACGGATCTAATGTGACTCTTGTGTAGGCTCACAGGCCCCAAGATGCTCTATTAGGTTGGCTCCCTTTGGTGTGTGCTTAGGGTAAGCCCTACGGACTTACGAACTTAAGGATACAGGACCCAAAGCCTATCCTTAGGTTGGCTTTTTTTTCACTGTATGCTTAAGGTAAGCCCTATGGATGCAGTTCTGGGAACTGCGGCTGGTGTACAAGAGAATGGTTTAAACTACGAGTTTCAAAAGTTAAACTTCATTATGATTTTATGAGATTTACTGAACTATCATTTGATTGGTGTACCTATTATGATTTTATCGTACTGATGGAACACACTAGACATCCTATTCGACCTCATGAAAACGTGGCTATATGAAAGGTTTCTTATGAACTGAGATTTATGGCTTCTACTCGATGAACTACTAATGGAACCCTATATTATTCCGCAATTGGTATACGTTTGATTCAATGAGGAAATTATGGCTTCCCATTTATCTACATGTCATGTAGCATCATCTGGTAGTTTTTTATTACCGAGCTTTCCGAAGCTCACTCTATTACTCACCATTGCAGGTTAAAAGATTGTACCAGTACAACTATCAACATCAGTAAGGGAGTTCTTCCGGCGTTGCTTGCAGAGTATGATACATGTGATTAGGGGGCATGTAATTGTATTTTGCTTTATATATGAGTCTGAAAATCTATTTTATTTCAAATACTGATAAATTTTATTTTGTACTCATAAAAGATTTTATGAGTTTACATGTTTTAAGAAAAGTTTTAAATATTCTGTTATTTTTTTCGGTGGGTTGCTCCGGTGGCCCTAATGTGACACTCCAGATCGGATCGGGCTATCTGCATCGGTCTGAGGGGGTTACATTTAGTGGTATCAGAGCTATGGTTTGAGTCAAAAATTTTCAAGATAGATCGGCCGGTCGAATGTCAACATATGTCTGATCAATACATGCCCCTAGACTGCAATCGTACCTCACTGAGCCGGAACTCCAGGGCTGAGTCCCTATCTACAACGAGTAAACCAAAGTTTCTATCCGTTATAGCTATACTTGTACAAAAAGGAATACCAGTAACATCTGTCTAAACGCTGTAAAGTACCTCATGAGCCATGCGAGAGTTAATTATCTGAGAAATGCTGACCCGACTCTTGAAATGAAATTGAGATATGCTACTACTTTCTGAGCCTA